CCCCCCCCCCCCGACCGCACCCCCCTTCCGGATGCAAGCATGATCTGGAAAGAACCCTTTCCTTCTGCTGCTGGATGCTGGGAGCCCCAAACCTGCTTACACCTCTGTAGGCAGTATCTTCATCAGGAAGTGTGTTTGGGTGGGGGTGGGGATGGGGTGGGGCGCCTGGAAGGCTCACTCGGTTAAGCATCCTGCTCTTGGTTTCAGCTCAGGTCACGATCTCGATCTCGAGGTTGTGGGATCAAGCCTGGCGAAGGGTTCTGCTCTGATGGGTAGAGCTGGCCTGGGATTGTCTCTCTCTGCTCCTCCCCTGCTCTCTCTAAATAAGTAAATAAATAAATAGACTTAAAAAAGGAAATGTGTTGGGGAATCTTACCAGAGGGGGTGATCTCCCTCCAGCCAGGACCCCACTGCCCCAGTGCTAGCCTGGGCTTCGTTATTACTCAGTGAACCTTGTTGAGCAGCACCCAGCACCGGCCCCTAGATGTCGGGAGCACACTTCCTGCTGCAAGTCACGGTCAGGACAGCCCAGACGGTTTCCCAGGAGGGGCAGCGTTGCTCCTGAGGAGAAACACCGCTCTGGGGGGGGGGGGCGTGGAACATGAGCACCAGGGGCAGCGGGTGTCTCTGGGGAATGGGATGAGGCAAGGGTCTTGCTTTTTCATTTTGTTCCCATTTTGCTCCTGCAAAACCTCTTGGAAAAATAAGTGATTTATGAAAGCCCAAGGCTGGAAGTTAAAATTAGAGTGTGTGGTCTTGGAAGGGGCCCACCCACGCCTTGTGTTTGTGGGGTCTCAAGGGCTCTTGGTTGGGTCCTGTGGGAACTGCAGCATCCTTCTAGAGTTTTTTTTTTCTTTTTCTTTTTTTTAGCTTATTTATTTTGAGAGAGAGAGAGTGCACGCACAAGCAGGGGGGAGCAGAGAGAGAGAGGGAGAGAAAGAATCCTAAACAGGCTCCCCGATGTCATCACAGAGCCCAGTGTGGGGCTTGAACCCATGAATCATGAGATCATGACCTGAGCTGAGATCAAGAGTCAGACACTTAACTGACTGAGCCACCCCGGTGCCCCTGTTCTGGAGAATTCTTGCATCGGTTTCTTCTCTGCAGACACGTCAGGCACCCCAGGCCTCTGCTCGCCTCTGCTCACCTCTGTTCTCTGCCTGGACTCTCTTCTTCCAAGGTCTTCACCTCCTCTGAGAGGCCTTCCGTGGCCACCCTTGGCCAAGCAGGGACACCCATTGTTTTCCTGATCACCTCTCACCTGTCATACATCCTGTTTATTTATTCTTGTCTGCTTACCTTGTTCAGTCTTTCTCCCCCACCAGACTCTAAGCTCCCCAAGGGCAGGGACCACGCCTGTCTCATTCAGTACCATGTCCTCAGTCCCTTACACACAGCAGGCTCTCAATACATTTTTTTAAAGTTATTTTGAGAGACAGCGTGAGTGGGGGAGGGGCAGAGAGAGAGGGAGACAGAGAATCGCATCCCGGCTCTGCACTGACCGCTCAAACTCAGGAACCATGAGATCATGACCTGAGCCAAAATCAAGAGTTGGATGCTTAACCAACTGAGCCCCCCAGATGCCCCTCAATACATATTTTTAAAGAATAAATAATCCCTGGGGCTCCTGGGTGGCACAATTGTTTAAGTATTCAACTCTTGGTTTCAGCTTAGATCAAGATCTCTCAGTTTATGGGTTTGAGCCCTGTGTTGGGCTCTGTGCTGACAGTGTGGAGCCTGCTTGGGATTCCCTCTCTCTGTCTCTCTCTCTCTGTCTCTCTCTCTCCCCCTTTCCTTTGCTCATGCTCTCTTTCTGTCAAAATAAATAAATAAAACTTAAAAAAAAGAAGAACTCCTTACCCTCTTCACTGGCTTCCTCCCCCCGAAAGGTCAGGTATGATCACCTACTTTGTAATACACTTGGCTTTTTCTTGCCACTGTCAGGTCCCTGGAACTGTGCTGGGTGTTAGTAATAGTGGCTGAAGGTACTCACTGCCCCAGGCAGGGTGGGGGTGGGGGTGGGGTGCTGAGCACTGGCTCCCATGTCTACCGGTGTTAATCAGGCAGGCTCCTTAACCCCTCTGAGTTTCATTATCCCTCCCTACAGCAGGGGGATAGTGATGGCACCCACCTCACAGCATTGGGATGGGGATCAAAGGGTGGGGCCAGTTTTACATGTGAACTTGGCCAGGGCCAGAGTTCCTCATCAAACCTCCACCTAGTGTTACCCGAAAGGTATTTCGCATGTGTGACTGACATCTTTAATCAGCTGAGATAATTCTCAATAATCTGGGTGGGCTTGATTCAATCAGTTGAAAGGTCTTTAGAGCAGACTGGAGGATTCCCAGGAGGAGAAATTCGGCGTGGGGACAACAGCTTCACGTGCCTGAGGGCCTCCTGACGGCCTGCCCTCCAGATGTCAGACGTGCCTAGCCAGCCCCAGTCACATACGCCAATTCCGTTCAATAAACCTTTTTTAAAAATTTATTTTTGAGAGAGAGAGGCAGAGAGAGAGGGAGACACAGAATCCTATGCAGGCTCCAGGCTCTGAGCTAGCTGTCAGCAAAGAGCCAGATACGGGGCTTGAACCCAGAAACCATGAGATCATGACCTGAGCTGAAGTCGGATGCTTAGCTGACTGAGCCACTCAGGCGCCCCCACAATAAGTCTCTAAATATGGATGGGCTACTACTGGTTCTGTTTCCTGGGTTGGACTCTGGTGGATACAAACGGGAGCATCTTGATGGGCTTAGAATGGGACCTGGAGCAGACAAAGAGCTGGACAGAGGAGAGCTGCCAGACGGTGCCCTCAGCTTCACGGCAGGTGTCAGGTAGCTGTGAACACATTCCCCCCTCACAGCGATGCAGGATGTTATGCTTCCATTCCTCAGATGAAGCTGGGGATGGGGGACCCCACTGGCGTACGCTCAGGGCAGCGCTGGGATCCTGGAGAGGCAGGGACAGGCAGGTGGCCATCCTCTAAACCTAGCAGGGGCCAGGCACACATAGGGTTAACTGAGAATAGACTGGGATGAGGGAGGGCCTGTGAGATGGGTGGGGAGTCAGGACCAGCTCCTGCAGGGTCCTTCCCAGGCCTGGCTCGGCCTTTCTCTTTTCCCAGGAGAAGAAGCTGGCTTCCAGGCAGGGATTCAGGGATGGCTGGGAAGGACCCTCCCCTTTCTGAATGTCAGCTTCCTTGTGGGAAAAAGTGGGGGACTAGTCCCTGTCTCATAATGTGGAGGTGTGACTTTAGGGAGGTTGCTTAACCTCTCTGGGCCTCAGTTTCCTCCTCTGTAAAATGAACGTGATGTCCAGACCTGTTCCACAGGGTTGCTGGGTTGTGGGAATGAAGGGGCTTGATGGGGGCTTGTTCCTCCCTGGATGCCAGTCAGTGCCACCATCGCAGGGCTGTTCCCATCCTCTCCTGAAGGAACAGAGGAGGGTTATTTATAACGGCCACCTCCCCTCGATCTGCTCTTTGGGTTGAGTGAGCAAACGGCAAGATGAACCCTGTGATGCTCCTGACTGCTGCCCGCATAATCAGACCCGGGAAGCCTGTTCCAAGGACCCAGACCTGCTCTCTGGTCCAGATGTGGTGTCCGGAGGGGCGACAGTCACCTGGTCTTCTGCGGGGACAGATAATGGACCCACGGAGAAGGGGTCTTGGCTGCTTAGGCCAGTTAGCATCCACCTGAGAGCCTCAGTGGGCCCCCCCACTCACAGCACCCCACCCCCCTCCGCATGCGTCTGTCCCAGTGTGGACAGGGAGGGGCCTGATGCGCCTGCAGCCACATAGTGCTCAGCGAGCGAATGAGAAAATGTAAGACAGACAGACTGGGAGGAACACAGGGAGCGGGAGAGACTGAGGCAGGGAGTGACGAGGACAGGTCGGGGGATTCACCAGAGACTCTGGAGAAAGAGGTAGGCCCTGCTGCCACTCCTTGGCCGATGAGGTGCCTTCCAACCTCATCTTTATTTGTGGAGCTGCTGCGGGCTCCCTGCCACCCCCACCCTGCCACCCACCCTCGGGGACAGCACGCTTTTCCTGAACTAGTATCTCTGCGTCCATGAATCCTTAACCTGCTGGCCGCTGGGCCGCTGAAGTTGAAGGTGCCATGTGTGTCTTCTAGGCATCAGTCCCTCTAGCTTCTCCGAGAGTGGGCTGGGTGACTGTGGCCTTTTGCCCAGCTCCTTTGTCCCTGTCGTCGGCCCCTTGTGGGAGCGCTCCGGCCTCCTGGTTTCCATCCTGTGGCTTCCCCTGCCCCCAGCACGCCTGCCCAGCTCCCAGCGGGGGCCTCACGCTCTCTTCCCAGGGCTGGCCCCTGCCCCTCCCCCTCCCAGATGCTCCCCAGATGCAGCCCTGGCTGTGTCAGCCCCTGCGCAGGTCCTGGGCCTCACCCATCTGTGTCCCCAGCCCACAGGGACACACACGGGGCCACTGCAGTCATTTGTGGCACACGAGGGGATGAATTCTTGGAATGTCTTTCTCCAGCCAAATAATTCTTCCTCATCCGTCCACACCCAGGCCTCTTCCCAGGGTCTGGGGATTGTTTCCACAGGGCAAGGTGCTTGCATTCCGAATGACCAACCTCCTCTGGGCAGGAGGTGTGTTTGGAGACCTCCAGGTCTATGCTCCTGATAGACTTGCAAGTGATAGGTCCACATATGGCTTTACACGGGCCCATGCTGCTTTTTTATTTTTAAGTTTATTTATCTTGAGGTAGAGAGAGCATGCGACTGGGAAAGGATGGACGGGGAGAGAGAGACAGAATCCCAAGCAGACTCCATGCTGTCAGCACAGAGCCTGACGAACCATGAGATCATGACCTGAGCCAAAATCGAGTTGGACACCTGACTGAGCCACTCAGGTGCCCCAGGACCCATGGTGCTTTTTAAACAGTTACTAACATGTTTGCATCCAGAAATTTCACACTATAATCTAGGTGTTTGGATTCTTTTGAAAATACAGATAGATAGATAGATAGGTGATAGACAGATAGATAGATAGATGATACATATGGGTAGATGGCAGATAAAACAAAAACCAGAAGACCCAGTAGTTCAGATCTTACTCCTGCTGGGAGGGAAGAGTTGGAGCTGAGTTCGCTGCTGCTGGCGCCCCCTTCAGGGGGGGAGCCTGATCTCAAGGTGGACGAGGTCCCCACCAGGCCAACTGCACCCGTTTGTTATCTGCGGGGCCAGTGGGGGCTCTTGAATTTGTAACCTCTGCACTAGAGTCTTATAAGGTCAGGAGAAAATGGCCGGGGCCAGGGAGAGCTGCTCCAGGGACCAAGGGTCCTGGGGTGGACGGGTCTTGGGCAGTGTGCTTGCTGTGTGCACTGAGGCACTCTGAGCCTCAGTCTCCCCATTTGCAATGTGGGGGTGTGGAGGACGGGCTTCATGACCCCCACTGTCCCTGCAGAGAGGCCTCTGGGGCTTTCAGGCGCTTCCCTCCAAAGGTATCCATTTCTCTCTGCAGAGCGCTGAGGCTGGATTTGCTCGGCAGTGCCTGAGGCCTCAGGAGGGTGACTGTCACTCTGAGTCACAGTGCCTGTGTGGCCTCTGAAATAGCATTAGCCCATTTCCTAGTGCTGCCTCCCCCAGACTCCTCTGTCCGTCCCTGCTGGCCCAGTCACTGCTCACGGGCAGGAAGCAGGCGTGTCCCTGGTGGGGGCGGACCGAGAGGCCCAGCACACAGGAGAGCAGTCTGGCTGGGCGAGTAGGTCTCTGAGTCTTCGAGCCATGCCTGTGTCTTGATCCGTCTGGGAGTTTGTCTGTCCACAGTCTGTCCTTCTCTCTCAGGAGCCCTAGGCTGTGAGAAAAGCGGATTCTGGCGTTCCCCTGTCCTGGCCAAGCCCTTCCCCTTTCTGGGTCCCCAAATAGCTGAATCGGGCCCACCCACCACCAAATTCGTATGTTGAAGCCCTGATCCCCAGCACCTCACAGCAGGATTGCATTTGGAGACAGGGCCTTTAAAGAGATGATTAAGTTAACATGAGGCCATTAGGGTGTCTTAATCCATTATGACTGGTGTCCTCATACATAGAGGAGATTAGGACAGAGATACCCACAGGGAAGGCCACGTGAAGACACAGAGAGAAGATGGCTGCCTGTAAGCCAGGGAGAGAGGCCTCCAAAGGAGCCAGCCCTGTGGACACCTTGATCTTGGTCTTCTGGCCTCTGGAACTGTGAAGATAAACCTCTGGTGCTTAAGCTCCCCAGCCTGCGGTACTTAGTTACCGCAGCTCGGAGCAGACGGATAAGGCCCCACCCTCTGGTATTGACTGGTCTCTCCTGGCAGGGCAGCAGCCACTTGTGGCCAAGGCTGCCTCCCCAAGTGGGACAGGAGCTGGGCCTGGAGCCCCACGGATCCTCACCATCCATGGCACGGATTTGGCTTGAGGAGCCAGACAGATACTCTGTTAAGGCCCAGCCGTGTGAGTGGCCACGACTGGGAATGCATAGGAGAGACTGCCCCCCTCTGGCTTCTGACCCTGGGGAATTGGGTTCGCAGGTCCAGGGACCCTCGAGAAGCTTTGTTTCTAACTAGTGCTCCCTGGTGGTGCTGCCAGGCAGTGGGTGAGTTCTGGCAGCTCGTGGAGTTCAGCTGGCCACAGCTGGGCAGCAGCCCGGCTGGTGGCCCTGCCGAGCCCAGGGACTGACCTCCAATCCAGGCCCAGGCGTTTTGGCTTCAGACTCCACAGTTGTCTCTGGCTCCTCCGGCAGCCCTGGCTTCTTAATTGGGGCTTCTCTGGCCTTGGGAATGTGACTGTCCTCCCACCATTGAAGAATCTTCATTCTAGGGCAACAAGCCCTGTGAATAACACTGCTCAGTCACCCCCCCACCCTCGCCTCTTCCCCGTTCCCTGGGCAGGGGGCCAGAAGACGAATTTTCCCTCCGTCTTCTCATTCTGTGACCAGCACTTCCCTCGCCTCAACAAGTGGGGATACAAACCCCTATTCTCTTAAGCTGGACCCTCTTCCTAGCCTCTTTCATGGCCTCATGCCCCAGAGCTAGCCTGCCTCCCCGCTGCTCCCGGCCCTCCCATGGCTCCCCAGTACTCCCAGCACAAATTCTCAGCCCTCCCGCATGCCTCTCCTCAGCTTCTCTTCCAGTGCTGTAATGTCTCAATATATATGATTTTTTTCTAGACAAATCTTTTTTGCACCTTTCCTCTTAGTATTTCTGGCATATTTGTGCGTATGAGTATACAGGGAGCTTCCTTGGTCAGTCAGGAGTGGGAAGGAGTGAGGGGGAAACATGTGTGGGAGCTTTTACTGTGGTTTCCATGGGACTGGAACAGCACAGTACGCAGGCTTAGGACTGGCCCACCAAAGGACCAAAGTACTCTGCACCTGGACAGGCCATTTGTTGAGGACGGACCTGTGACTCAAGCAGGGACAATCAGAATCTTCTCTGGGATTCATGTATCACCAAGAGGAAGACAAGCTCTCTTTCAGCTAGAGTTGCTGAGATTGGAGGACATAATCATGGGGCTGCTTCGCCATCTTGCCACTAGGTGGAAAGAGCCTCCAGAGGTCAAGTGAACACAGAAGGAAGCAGAGCAAAGACACGGAGGCAGCAGACTCTTAATAATGTCATGTGTGGGGCGCCTGGGTGGCTCAGTTGGTTAAGCATCTAACTCTTGATTTCAGGTTAGGTCATGATCTCATGGTTTGTGAGATCCAGCCCCACATCGGGCTCTCTGCTGATGGTGTGAGGCCTGCTTGGGATTCTCTCTCTCCCTCCCCTCTCTCTCTGCTCCTCTCCTGCTTGTTCTCTCTCTGTCTCAAAATAAATAAATAAACATAAAAAAAATTAAAAGAAAAAAGGTAATTAAGGTAAAATGAGCTCATGTGGACCGGCCCTAATTGATAGGACTGTATTTGGATAGGGCCTTCGATGAAGTGTAAGTTAAACTGAGGCAGTGAGGTGGGGTCCTAGTACAATATGACTGCTGTCCTTGTAAGGCTGACAAGGGTGTGCATGCACACAGGGATGCCCATGTGACAATGCAAGAGGGTGGCCATCTTCAAGCCAAGGAGAAGAATCTCTGCAGAAACCAATCCTCCTGGCATTTAGATCTTGGGACTTTGAGCCTCCAGAACCATGAGAAAATGAATCTCTGCTGTTGAAGTCTTCGACTTAACAGATGGTCAATATGTTCCTGTAGCAGATTACAGATGGCTGCAGGTTTCTGGCACTCTGCCCATGGAGAAATGGGGTCTCAAATTTTCTCTTCCCCTTGAATCTTGGCTAGGCTCTGACTTGCTCAAAGAGAATATGATGGAAGTGACACTGTTAATTCCAAGCCTAGCCTTAAAGAGGGCTGCTGACTTCTGCCTTGGAAGAGATCATGATAAAAGAGGCCTTCATACCCCATGGAAAATAAGAGGGGCCCAGATGAGCCCAGTCTTCTGGCTGTCCCCAGCAAAATGTCAGGCACATGAATGAAGGCACCTGTGACCCTCCAGCCCAGCCAGCCCAGCCTCTAGATAAATACCACCAAGTGACCTCTGTGGATACCACGGAAGCTGAAGAATCATTCAGGTGGACCCCCATTGTTTAAGGGCGCTAAGTTTAGGGGACTATGATAGAGCAACAAATAACTATTCCCTCGTTCCTTGAGCTTGCCGAGTTCAGCTCTTGTCACTCATAACTGGAAGAGTCCTGACTAATGTCACTTATCTCCTTTAACTATTATCCCATATGCATCATCCCCCCCAAACTTTTCCACCTAGGACAGTTTATTTTTTTTTTTTAATTTTTTTTTTTTATGTTTTATTTATTTCTAAGAGAGAGAGAGAGACAGTGTGAGCAGGGGAGGGTCAGAGAGAGAGGGAGTCACAGACTGAAACAGGCTCCAGGCTCTGAGCTGGCAGTCAGCACAGAGCCCGACGCGGGGCTCGAACCCACGAACCGCAAGATCATGACCTAATTGAAAGTCGGATGCTTAACCGACTAAGCCACCCAGGCGCCCCTCACCTAGGACAGTTTAAAGTGCAATAACCCCATGCTCTGCCTAGTTCTGTTCCATCCAGCTTTTTTTGTTAAGTTTATTTATTTATCTTGAGAAGAGGAGACCATGGGCACGTGAGCAGGGGAGGGGCAAAAAGTTGGGAAGAGAGAGAGAGAATCCCAAGCAGGCTCTGTGTTGTCAGCACAGAGCCCAATGTGGGGCTCAGTCTCATGAACTGTGAGATCATGACCTGAGCCAAAATCAAGAGTTGGACACCTAGCCGACTGAGCCACCCAGGAGCCCCTGTTCTATTCAGCTTTCTTGTGCTCTCATCCAGTCTTGTGTTTCTGTTCTTTGATCTTACAGATGGAGGCTTCAGATCCGAGACACCACACCCACTAGCGCTTGTGAAGACCCTCCTGGTTTATCTTCCTTACCTCCCACCCCACTGGGTACAACAGCTGCCCACTTGATGTACCCTCTCCCTCTAGTTTCCACAGTCTGTCTGACCTCTCATCCCGTCACCCTTCCATAGCACTCTGCCTGCCAAGACCCAAACCCAGATCAACACTGCCATTCACGCCTTCCTTTCCAATGACCGCTGCTGGGAGGAAACACCACACAGCAATGACGCTCAGTGCCACTGACAATGAGTAACCTGCTGTCACAATCGCTGTTGGCATCACCATCCCCACTCTTCCTGATCCCTTCCCCTCACCCCTGCCCCCACCCACATCACTTTCAGCAGACAGCCTCACCATACTTCATGCTGTGTGGGGGGAAAAAAGCCCATGTGTAGGAGGGCCTTCCCACCCTCCACCAGAATCATAAACGCCACGTAAAGTGAACAAGAAAAATATAGAACATCTGCCATTGGATCCTGAGAATAATTTTGAGAGTAAGGATAACTGGCTGCCTAAGACAGTGCCATTTCAGTGGCTTGGTGGAGAGCAGACAGCAGGGGATTGAAAAATGTAAGGGTGAGGAGAATCAGGCAGCGGGTGTAAGCTATTCTCTCTCAAAAAAAAATTGGATGGTACATAGAGGGAGTTTGTGGGGTTGAGGTAAGAGAGATTTGGGCATGTTTATATCCTTTAGAGAAAGAGCCCCTGAAGAAAGAATGACTGAAAATTTAGGAGACAGAAAGGATGATTAATGGAGTGTGGAGGAGATGGATTCCCAGCCAAAGGAGGTGAGGCTAACCTTGGACAGGAAAAGGGATGCTTCTTTCTCTGAAAAAGGCAAGGAGTAAATCATCAGTGCCAGTGGCAATAGCTGTAGGTGTTGGGGAGTTGCTTTTTTCCCTATAAAGTAGGTAAAACTTATTGCTGAGAGTGAGGGGAAGGAGATAAGAGAGTTGGGGAAGGAAAGAAAACATCTGTGATACTGACAGAGCATCATGTTGGAGAGAGCTCCCCAGGGTTGGGTGGGAGGATTTCTAGGTGGTATGGATGCTACCCTCCCCTGCAAAGATGGGAGATTCTGAAGTGGTAGAGTCCTCTTGGCATCTCCCTTGTACAGACCTCTAACCTAGCACTTGTTTACTTGTCTATTGTCCTTGGAAAATACGGGACACAGAGCAAGAGGTAAAACAGGAAAAATAAAGTCTGAGGATATTAAATGAGAAGCCCACAGTGAAAGGAAAGGGTGGTTGCAGTAATGTATGCAACAATGGCTGAAAACTTTCCAGAACAGATAAAAGACACCAAATCACAGATGAAAAAGGCCAGATGTACAAAACAACAAACAAACAAAAAAAGATATCCACACTTAGTCACATCCAAGTAGAACCATTAACACTGACAATATCTGAAAGCCCAGACAGCGGCAGGGGCCCTTGAAAAGGCACCCATCCCAGGTGCCAGAGAAAGTTTCCTGGAGTGCATGATGGGAGGGCTGTGAGCTGAGCCCTAAATGATGAGTAAATGTCAGCCAGGTGAGAGAGGGGGGCTGGGATGGGAGTCAATGTGCAGAGAAGGGGACCAAGCAGAAGTCACAGTACTTAGAGAAAACGTACACACAATCAATGAACTTGATTTAAAGGCTGCATATCAATGGAACACTGCCTTCGACAAATATAAAATACACATTTTTAAGCCTATGTGGAATATTTATAAAAACTACACAAAAACTGTGCCACAAAGAAAATAAAGAATTGAAATCATGCATAATATATTCTTTGTAGCTATTGGATTTAAGCTAGAAATAAAGAAAAGAGGATTATTAGAAAACACTGGCATGTCTGAAAAAAAAACCATAGGTCAAAAAATCATAATGGAAATTAGAAATATTTAACTAAGTGATACTAAAACACTTTATATTAAACTTTGTGAGATGCAGCTATCGTGGTGCTAAGAGGGAAATTTATAGCCTTAAAATGCAAAGACTGGAGAAGAATGGAAGGAAATAAGGGACATAAATAAATGTAGTAGGTGTTGGAAAAGGCTTGATGGTGAATTTTAACTTGATACTCACACGAGGAGGACAAGGAAGAAGAAGAACAGTGCCGATGCAATGAATCCATACACAATGCCCTGGGTCAGCCCTTTCATGAACACACTGTAAACTGAATGCTTATCTGAAATCAGAGGGAAATGAGAGTGTTTTTTCTCCTAAGGCTGTGAAGTCTGAGCTACCCTCTTTCCCTCTGGCCCTGTGCCCATCCTCATCTTGGTGTTGCGGTTCAAGCTCGGTCAGTAGTCCCCTGTGTACTTAACTGGTAGGAGGAAGATGCTTGAAGTATGGATTCCATATTGGTTCTTCCCCTCACAGCGGAGACTCATGACTATTTCTGGCTCCCCGATGAGGCTGACGGTACTGTTGGCCCAGGGGCCAATTATGGTGGAAGTTACCTGGAGGATGTTGTCTGTGCTGTTCACATTCACAGGAACACCTTCCATCAGCCATTGCACAGAGGGTGTGGGGATCCCATGGAAGGAACAGTTGCACCGTAGAGTCTTCTCCAAGGAACAAGATGAATAGAGCAGCCTAGTGGGTGCTACGGGAAGGGAGGGTCAGCAATCAGCAAGATTCCTGACTTCCTTTCCCCAGTTCCTCCAGCACCCAGCCTTCTCCTTATTCATGATTCCCAAGGAGATTTGGAAAGACTTTCTGGAAGCCCAGAGGAGCCAAGCTCCACAGACCAGTTCCCCTACATCCTCTTTCCTCATCTATCTCTGACTCTGGCTCAGCTCTTACCTCTGGCCTTTCAGCCATAGAAGCCCTGAGAAGATGTGACACCTTCCCAGACTCCTCTCAGCCAACCCCACCCCAAGACTCAGGAATTTCTCTTGGGCCCACCATTTCTCCCAGACTCTGGATCTTCCTTTGCCCACCAGTACTCACAGACCGCCTGGAGCATGACCATGCTACTTCTGGTCAACTTAGCTAGGGAGAAGTTCAAATGACATCTGGGAGTGGTGCCATAATCCTGAGGTTTCGGGGTGAAGTGCAGCACCAGGAGGGGGAGTTGCTGGAGCCATCTGCATTGGAAGACATGGTTGGGCCAATTCCACGAAAGTGAAAGGGCTTTGGTTTCTTTGCACAGGTGCCTTTGATGGTACAGGTCAAGGCCACAAGATCTCCAGATACAAGAATCTCTAGGTTGTGGAGCTCTGGTTTCTCGGTCTGGTCTGAAGGGAAAGATATATTGGAACTGAAACAAGGGACCCTCATGGACACTTACCTGATGCACCATATTTGCAGGTTACAAAGTGGTTTCTCACCTACAGCTCACTTGGTACTCCTCCCCTCTACCCCAATAACCTCATGGAACCTGGGATTGATGGATTTTCACAGGTGTATTTCCCTTCTCTGCATTGTCTAGGTGAGCGAACTGAGGAGACTTGCTGAAGGAGGAAGAGCTTGAACCTGGACACTGGACTCTGAAGACTAAGGGTGAGTGCCTTTTCTGAGCATCTACATTGCCTATGATTCCTTACCTGTCCCCCAATCCAGACCTCCTAGGGCCAGCTCCTATGCTGTCTTCCCTTCCAATCCAACTCCCCCCTCAAGCACTGCCCCTTCCCAGATCTGTGATCACTTCCCCCCTCCTCCTCTTATTTGCTGGGTGTTGTTGTGTAAGTCACTTCCTCTCCCTGTGCCATTTTTACTTAGAAAAATAAAGTCATCAATTATACCTATGTCACTGTATTCTTGTTGTAAAAATGAAATACCTAAGGTTTAAAAAGCCCTGTGCCCCATGAGGTAGAAACCACACAATTACCAGAACATCTTCTTGGAGTTCCTCCTTTACAAACCACCCACTGCATGAGACTGAATATCACCTGATATGGAGAGTTCAATATACTCCCACAGAAAGAACTCTTGTGTTCCAGATCTGCACAGAATAAGTGTGTCATGATGTCCCCTTTAAGTACATTGTGGATCAGCAGGGTACAGTCTTGTGCTTCAGGATTCCACATAGTGTGGAATCTGCCCTTGGTGTTATCATCTATAGTAGCATTGGGTTGATTTATAGCTACAGGGGAGCTGATATTTTTATTAAGCCAGTAGGCCACAGGCACAGAGTTGCTTGGGGATTCCTTGGGAAGTTCAAATATTCAAAAGATTATACTTCTTCCACTGGTACCTTCTTGACTTCCACCAAAACACAGAAAGTAACCCCATGGGGAGGGATTCCAGTTGAAAAACTGACATATCTAGTGCCCTCCAGTATCCTACTTGTGCATTAAAGGATTAACCTTACCCTAGAAAGGTTTGGCCCCTGCTCAGCTCCGAGGAGGAGCTCTAAGTCCTTGGGATGTCTACCTGATAAGAGTGTCTATTTACCTCGGTGCATGGACCATGCCAGATAGTCTACATGAACAATGTGATTTTTGGTGGGGACCTATGGTATCAGCTTGACCTCTGAAGTAGCTGGAGACTAAGGTCAGCCATGCCTATGGGACCAGGCCCCCAATAAAAACCCTGGACACTAAAGCTTGGTGAATTTCTGTGCTGGCCAATACTGTGCATATTGCCAAACATTATTGCCAAGAGAAGTAAACACTGTACGCACAACTCTACTGGGAAAAGACAGCTAAAATCTCATTCTTGGCCTCTCCTAGGTCGTGCCCTACCTGTCCCTTCCCTCTGCTGAATTCAATCTCCATTCACTTGCTATAATAAACTGTAACTAAATATAACAGTTCTGCTGAGTTCTGGGAGTCTTTCTCGCAAATCACTGAACCTGGGGGTGCTCCTGTGGACTCCTAACTGTACCACCCCCAATGTACTCTACTGGGTTTTTTGTTTTTATTGTTGTTGGTAGTAATTTCATCCTGTGAAGTTGGTCATGTAGCTCCATTTCTGAATCTCTGTTTCTCAATCAGAAAAGTGGACATAATACCGGTGTCGCAATGTTGTGAAAATGAGAGATATTAACCATGGCACATGGTGACCTATTATAGTTGTAGATTATAACTTAGTTGTTGGCTCTTAGGTGGACAATTATTCTCTTCCCTTCTTTCTTCATTTCCCAGATGACAGCTCTCTCATGTACAAAATAGGTGAACTTCATGGTTCTTGAAGCTACTTCTAGTAATGCCATCTTAAAATTACGGCAGCAATACTGACCTGGGTAAGTGTTTACAGATTTCTCAACACTTTCATAGAAATTAGCTTAAGCCACCCTCATGAAGATTTTATTATAGTCCCTTAGACATATCAGGAAACTGGGGCTCAGAGAGGTTAAGGGCATTGGTCCAGTTACAGAGAAAGGAGTAACAGCATCAGGCCTGGGACCGGCTTTCCACATGTTAAGTCCAGTACTCCAAAACACTATCACCAGGGATCCTAACACTCTTGGTTCTGGAACACCATACTGTCTCTCTGCTCTGAGATGTGACTTAATGACACTCACCATACAGATGATGGCGTTTAGAGGGCAGATATGTATACATTTACTATCGCTGAAGTTCTAGAGTGGCATGGCACTAAAATGGAACTAGGAGTCAGAAGAGCTGGGCAATCCAATAGAGAAATTTCTAGGCAAGTTGTTGAACCTCACAGAGTTTGCTTCCTCATCTGTGAAACAAGGACCATAACGCCTCATGGAGTTGTTGGGTAGATGAAATGGGACACATGGTGGGTCACAGAATATACACATGGAAGATGTCTATTACTTATTATTTATAAAGTACTTAATTCTTTATGTCCTCACCTTTTCACCTTACTTTAGCCCTGCCTGTCTTCCATCCCCACCCATAACCACCTCATCCCTACCCGTTAGTGGCTTCCTCAGACACCTCCCACCTTACCTCTCATTCCACTTACTGAACCGTGACAGTGACAATGCTGTCAGCACCAACAGGATCTCAGGGAAAAGAGAGGGTCAGGTCCTAGCCTGCTGCTAACTCTGGCATCAGATCTGTATGTTGTGAGGGCAGGATTTGGAATGGATGAGGAGAGGGTCAGAAGGAAGAGGCATGAGGTGGAGATAGAAGTAAATTCATAGCCTACTAGGGGCTTTTGTTTCTTCAATCACTCTTAGGTTCCATTTGCCTTGAGAATCAGGAGGCTCATGGAAACAGAGGCTTAGGAGCTTCAAGGATAGAGCAGTGTCTCCACGACTCTCTCTAGAGTCCCAACACCATGTCTTTCTTCTTTACCCTCTCGCCTTCACCCCCAGGTCCTTCCCCCTTTGAAGGACCTCAAATGCCAGGTTGAGAAGCCTGGACTCTCTCCCAAGTTGGTGTGGAAGTCATGGAAACCACAGAAAGTTTTTGAACCACGGGGAACAGGTCCGGGTGTCATAAAGATCACTATGGATCTGCATCCAGGAGAAAGAAATAGTTCAAGGGAAAGATAACGTGGCCTGAGCTGGAACAGTAGCTCTGGGGATAGAGAGGACAGGATATATTTAAGAAGTATTTGAACAATGGGGCACTAGGGTGGCTCAGTTGATTTCAGCTCAGGTCATGATCTCATCGTTTGTGAGATCAACCCCCACGGTGAGCTCTGTGCTAACAGCATGGAGCCTGCTTGGGACTCTCTTCCTCTTCCTCTCTCTCTGCCTCTCCCCAACTCTCTCTCTCTCAAAATAAATAATAAATAAACTTAAAACAGAGGTATTTGAGCAATAAAAGACATTTCTATGGCAGACGGGATAAATTCCAAACCCCTTTGCCTGACATTTAAGGCTGTCCATGATTTTGCCCCACACCTGCCCTATCTCCACTGCTCCCTTCCCTAGCCTCTGCCATTCTTTGCCTACCAAAGAGAAAAGTACCTTTCCGTATATAGCCTATACATTCCTGTCTCTGTATGTTTACTCAGGCCACTCCCCTTTTCATGGCATCCTTCTGCAACTCTCCCTTCTGCCCACATTCAAATCCTGTCTATCAGAATTTCTGAGTCCACGTCAAATTTAACTTCCTTCAGGTTATCCTTCAGGAATCCTTCAGATTCCTGTCCAGGATCTCCACAACCAGAAAGAAGTTTCCTTTCCAGGACTCTCTTAAGCACCCCTATATGTCCATCTCTTTTAGGGCAATGTCTCAGACAAACTCCCTGACAACCACCCTCCTGTCTATCCCTATTATTTCTGATCTGTTCAGGTGATCAACTCTTCAGCTGAAAAAAAAAAAATAACTATTTTTCTGCCTCATGTACATCCAGGAGTGGCTCTATGACAAAGCTGTGGCCAGTAGGCCAGGTAAAAGAAAAATGCTATTAAAATACCGACAGCAAATAAAAGCCTATTCAGCCTTTTCCACACTTTCTTTACCATCAAAATTGAGCTCTGAAGGTCTGTTTTCTGCATATGATCCTAGCTAATGGAATTCCAGAGCCTGGTTTTAAAAAATAAGTTTTCATAATAAAGGAAACAAGTCTCAGAAAGAATTGAAAAAGATGTTCACTTCCCCTGCAGCTATAAATCAAAAGATATTGTTCTGTGTTATAAAAGGGCTCAAGGAATCTGATTTGATATTGTACAAAAACGAGAATGTTTATAAGAATATAATTTATGTTCTCCATTGCAATATACAGTTTTGTATGAATATTCATGACTGTTACTGACTTGTTCTGTTCTCTGTTGATACAAATCCGCCCTTGGAAGAACAATTTAAACAAAGTGGTCTTATGAGACTCTAAAGACATTAGAAATTATTCCATGTCTTATGAAAATGATATCCAAATAAAATGGAATTCTGACCAGTTGTCTTACTTGATAATTTCTTGCTCCGGTAACAATAACATTATAACTGACAGCTCTGTTTTCTTAAATTGTATACCTATCTGTTAGGATTGTACTCTTCTCTTCTCCCAAACGTATGATGCAAAATAAAAACCTTGGGCTCTGCTCGATTTATTATTAAGCAAATATTTTGAGAGACTTATTTTCTTAAAATACCAACCATGCTGAAGGCTTTGGGGAGTTCTGCTTTTCTGATATTAGCACCACTTTCTGTTGTTGCTTTCTTCTCTTTCCCTTTCTCTCTTGCTCCTCCTCCTTCTCTTTCTTGGAATATGGATGTGATGCTGGAGGTGGAGCAGCCATCTGGTAACCATGAGATAGCCATAAGGATCAAAGCCACAGATTGAGGATGTTGTTGACAATAGCCTGAGAGCTCTGGTCTCCTGCCAGCCTGATGGAGCCGCTACATTCACCACGCACAGCCTACTGTCATGCTTCCTCTTCATTTGGTTGTTGTTCTAGTCGGGAAACTGATGAAATATCCTACTTGGGGAACTATCCAAGGGTGAGATCCTTGAGAGAAAGCCCTTCATCAAACAGATCTTTGTGTCCTCCACAGTGCTTAGAAAGGTTCTTGTCTGATAAATATTCACTGAAGAAAAATGTACAGGCACAAATCGTAATGATTTTCCAACTATTCGTTTCCAGTTTAATTCCACTATGGTTAGAGAAAATACTTTATACGACTTCAATTCATTTAAATTTGTTGAGACTTGCTTTATAGCTCAGAATATATTCTAAGTGTTCCATGAGTCCTTGAATAGAATATGTATTCTATTATTGGATGGACTATTCTAATAAATGTCACTTAAGTCAATTTGGTTGATGGTATCTATATCCTCACTAATTTTTTCATCTCGTTGCTCAGTTCCTGAAAAAGGAGAGTTGAACTGACTAGTTCTTACTTCAGTTAGATTGGTTTTTTTTTAATTTTTGAAATTAAAAATTCTAGTTAGAAATTAATTCTCAGAAGCTAATTGGATATACTGATTTATTTACAACCTCGGATCGAAGACTGAGGAGAGCTCTGTGGTGGCTCCAGATCCGGCTTTGCAGGTCACACGCTGGAAATTTTAGGCAAGAGCTGTTTCCTCTTTGGTTCTCCTCCCCCATTTCCCCATCTATAAAATGAGGTGTTTTAGCCCATGTGTAATGATCCTTCTGACTTCAAATTTCTGATATCTCCCAACTCTCATTCCCTTCTCCAGGGCCTGGCACAGCCATGGGTTGTCTCCACAGGGAACCTCTTTCCCCTCCCGCTAAACTATTATCTCCTTTTCCAGACTCACCCCCTCGTCTTGGGTTCCCACAGGCCAACCGGGACCCACCGCATCAGGTCTCCGCTTGGCTACTTCCCCGACGACTGGCTGACTCGCTATCTACGGTAACTTCCTGTTCCCATAGGGAACGAACTGATTGGCTGATTTAAAGCACCCACTGACGCGTGGAACAAGCATGTGTACAACTATTGGTGACTCACCAAGAAGGGACGAAGGGAGAGGAAGGGCTGACTCATAACGAGTTCAGTTGGCCGCCGGGGAGTCCTCAACCTCCCCAACGTCCGCTAGCCACAGGTCACGTGAGGATGCCGCCCCGCGGAGCCCCGCCCCTCAGGCCCTGCCAGTGGGCACACGTGAATCCGCCGGAGCCAATCAGGGCCTAACAACGCGCGAGGGTGCTGCTGGGACGGGGAGGGACCGTGAAGTGGAACACTGAGGTCTCCGAGTGGGAGGCAATCTGGAGGAATCGGCACTCCGTTTATCTTTTTTTTTTTTTAAATATTTTTATTTATTTCTAGGAGAGAGGGAGAGAGACAGCGTGAGCAGGGGAGGGTCAGAGAGAGAAGGAGATACAGACTCTGAAATAGGCTCCAGGCTCTGAGCTGGCAGTCAGCACAGAGCCCGACGCGGGGCTCGAACCCACGAACCGCGAGATCATGACCTAAGCGAAAGTCGGATGCTTAACCGACTAAGCCACCCAGGCGCCCCATCACACTTCGTTTATCTTGGGCCGGAGGTTATAGACCCCTACCAGCCCCGTGGACTGCAGGCCTAACCAGCCTTTAAGGGACCCTCCTTCCTCAAGCCGGTACTGTGGGCAAGCAGGTGATGGGCGGTGAATTGAAAGCCATCGACCAAGGAACAAGGGTCATGTGCTCGACCCTCAGGGCCGACCAGGAGGCATCTTGTGCCCCATTTCCCTTCCTGTGAGCGAGGTCCTTATCACGAACAAAGCGAGAAACATGAGGAAGACCCAGCTCTCCATTCTCTTGTCAAAACCCATCCCCAACCTGTTCCCAACCCAATTCCCATCCTCTATCCCAGTTCTTGTCTAGGTGGCATTCTCTGCTCCTGAGGAGCACACTTCCCAAAGTTACAGAGCACATGAGGAAATAACCCTCTGTGAGTGAGGCCCTGAAAGATCTGGCACCTCGGGAGCTCACCCTTCCACTTGAGCTCCAGGGCACAGACCATCCCTGGGCTCTTAGACTCCCTAAACTTCTCCCATCGCAGAGCCTAGAATCTGCTGTCCCTCTGAGCAACCCCTGATAATCCTTTCGGTCTCTCAGCGCAAATGTCACTTTCTCAGGCCCTACTCTGATTCTCTAATCCAAACTGGGTTCTTCCCCTGGTCCCTCATACTTTCTCATAGTATTATATCCTTTTTCTTCCTAGCTCTTGTCAACATTTTAAGCTGCAGTTTTGTGTTTATTTCTCCATTGTCTGTGTATGTGTGTAGATCACGAGCCCCACGGAGGCAGGGCCTGTCTGGTTCACCACACTATCCGGCACAAGGTGGATGCTCATATTTCTGTGGAATGTGTGAACTGTATGCCAAAGAAGCGTCCCTGCATTAGGGCTTATATAAACATCTGCTCTTGAGTACAGGATGACCATCGCATTGGTGCTGGATGGAGAACCACTGGATTTACGCACAAATAATGCCTCCAGGAAGAAATGACCCTTTTTTGCAACCTCTAAAAATTACCAGCATCTGGCTCCTGAAGGGAGGATGTCATCCATTCAGAGGGGAACAATACACAGCCATAGTCCATCCTTATGCCAGATCCCTGTTCTCATTTCTTGTGTGCCTGCCTTCCAGCCAAGAGATACTGCACTAACCTCTTAACGAGGCTCTTTGCCTCCAGTCTTCTATCTTCTAAGTTGAATAACTACTCCTAGAATGATTTTACTATGTATGTATGTTATGTATGCATTCTTTGCTTCAAACCTTGCAACAGATTATCATTCATTCATCCATTCAATTATTCAACAAACATTTTCAAGAGTCTATTATATTTTAGGAACCATTCTAGGTGCTGGTGGTTCAAATAGAAAACCAGACAGACAAGATCCCTGTTCTTGTGGAACGTACATTCTAAGGGAATCAGGATTAATAGCCTACCAGATAAAGCTCCAATGACTTATCTTGGAATTCATTCCCACCCATTGGGATGGTCTTTGTGTCTTTTCTCCGACTGCACCTCCGGATACTACTTTTCACTCACTCTCTACCCATGTATCCCTCAGGTGAGGATACTGAAGTTCAAAGGGGGCAGGGTGAAGGTCTTATCCAAAGACATATAGCCACTGGGCATTAAAGTTGGGATTCAATCCATATATAATGGGTCCAAAGCCTGGTGCTCTTGTACGTATATTCCAAGTTCTGGACATACAATAGGGGCTCAAAACTACTTCTGGACCATAGTCTCACATTTATTTTTCCTTCCTTTGACACCATCCCAGGCCAGAGCATACTTCTTCTGGTTAACCTGAACAACAGATCATAGAGTTTGCTTTCAAAGTTTCCAAGACCAGGTCCCAGAGTAACTCTGTTCAATGGAGAGCCAGTCAGTGTGAGGGACAGGTGGGGCCTTGAGAGGGCTTTGTGAGCTGAGGAGACTCCTGGGATCCCGGTTTGTTATAGACTCCAGGATTCTGTGGACTTTGGTAATCCCACAGATATTGGAGACTGCAGGTAGGCACATAGTTTTCATAGGCTTCATGAGCTCTGGTTTACCTTGCTTTTTCTGGAAGTTTAAGGTACGTGGTGCTAGAGAAAGGTAAAGAAAGAAGAATGTTGGAATAAGTCTAGAAGTGAGGTATCCAATTCTTTTTTTTTTCACAAATAGTTTATTGTCAAGCTGTTTTCCATATAACACCCAGTGCTCATCCCCACAAGTGCCCTCCTCCATGCCCATCTCCCCCTTCCCCCACACCCATCAGTCCTCGGTTTGTTCTCAGCATTCAAGTGAGGTATCCAATTCTTAAATGGACAGAATCCTATGTCTCCCTGTGAGCACAGAATTACAGCAACGTGGAGCAGGCATTGTCGTCACCTTTTCTCAGAACCCCATGATCTGCAAACCTGTTTTCTCTCACTGTACCTTCCTGTGCATTCCCAGCACTAGGAGCCACCTGATGTTCCCCAGAGTCTTCTGGGGAGTTCTGCCTGACTTCCCCAGGGAGGGTCAGTCCCTCCCTCCTCAACCACAACCCCTGTCTCAGCCCTGTTGCTGCAAGGCTGCCTTCCCACCAGCCTGCTTGCTCTCTGAGGACAGGGGCCTGAGTCTGACCCATTTCTGAGGCCCCGGCATTGCCCAGCATGGGGGTTGGGAGATACTGTAGGATATCTTGGTGGAATTTAACAGCTGCATGGTTTATCCACAAAGGGACACCAGCTTCTGGTGCAGGGCTACAGGAGGGCAGCAGAGCATTTCCAGTCCTAGAGAACTCAAAATGGTACATAACTGTGAGGCCTGCCTCTTCCAAGCCCTGCTGAGGATATGGGGTGCAAGGTAAATGAAGGAATACCTTGGCTTTGGTCTGCTCTCCAAGCACTTCAGGCTAACTTGGGCCTATGGTATCTACATACCGTGTTGACCACAGTCTACCAAACGCTCAGAGACCAAAGCCTTTGGCTTCTATTCTGATGCCACAAACACTGTTAGGGGTTCTTTCAACCCTGGTCTCAATGGGGACTCAGTGTAAAGGTGTGTGTGTGTGTGTGTGTGTGTGTGTGTGTACACATTGCTGATTCTAATTACCCTTAAGAGTTATTTCTCTTAATTTTCATCCTTCTTCCCCTCTGTGGGCCTTGGCTTCACCATCTATAAAATAATCTGCAAGCACATTCTGACATTCTAGATGCCCTATAGGACTGATGGTGGTGACTCCTTTAAACACTGTATGTGCCTCTCCTCATGAGTCTTATTGCCATTATGCTGATAGACTAGACTAGACACAATGGGTACCCACCAATATCTGGCTCTCTGAAGATGGAGTGATTGCGGATTTTTCTGGCTCCTTAGGCTTCAGAGACATCTTGGGTTCTTGGCATGCTCTGACTTTTGGGCTCTTTTCTGCTTTGACTGCTGCAATTTTCTTTGCCAGCTTCCTTCTGATATGTTTCATTCTAAGAAAATGACCCCCCTCCCCTGATCAGTTCTGGCTCTCTGTCCCCCCACCCCCAGTGGGCTCTGGTCTTGACCAGAAGTTTTGGTTAGCTTCAACGACACCACTGGCTTGCTGTGTTATCTAGGGCAAGCCACACAACCTCTCTGGGAATTGGTTTTGTCCTCTGTACAATGGGGAAACCTCGCTTATTGTGGCTCTTCTTTCTCACCCCTGATAGCCAGTTAGTCCCAAGTATCATCATCTCTCTGACTGCCCCTCATCACTTACCCAGCCCACACTGGGCTCTTTGCTGTGTAGTCTTCCTGCCTGGCCTCATGCCTCTGGCTCTTGCCCTCTGCTCTGTGTACAGACACCCTGCACTAGGAGCTTTTCTTCCCAGCTTAGCACTGTTCCATGGCTCCCAACTGAGGATCAAGTCCAAGATACTTTGACTGGCCAGAGGCCTCCCTGTGCCAAGCTCTCTGGCCTGACCTCTGGCCTCCTTACTCTGGGCTTCTAGCCAAAACATTTAGCCAAGTTTCAAGAGTCTTTATGAACTAACACCAAGAAGCTTTTTCAACTTCATGTTTAGCCATTTCCTGTCACTCTCAATGCACCTGACATTGCACAGAGACACCGGCAATTCCTCAAATGTGTCTCTGGGGTCTGCATATACTACTTTCCACCCAGCAAATGAGCACTCAGCCCCTCAGGACCACTTCAGACAGCACCCTGGGGAGCTCTGCTGGCTTTTCCGTGGCTGCCACTTCCTCTTTTGCTTTCTCCTTTATGAAATTCACTGAAATTTCCCTTGGGCCTTGTTTGTGGCTCAGCATAGTCCTGGATGGCCCTGGACTGTGGTGACCATGTTTGGTGCCTCCTTCCCTTGCTAGACCCTTAGCTCCTTGGGGCCAACCGTTCTGTCTTTCCCTTTCCCTGCCAGCACTGAGGCCAGGGCCTGCTGGGAATGGTTTTAGCCCTGGTGCTCACATGAGTGGGATGAGGCAGAAGAACAGAAGTGCAGCAGCAATGGCTCCATAGACCACGCCCTGGATCAGCCCTTCCATGAAAGTCTGGGGAAGAAAAGAACTCTTTCCTGGAGGAAGAGAGCATGTGAGACAGGCTTCTCTCCTGAGAGCCTGGAGTCAGAGTCCAAGCTCTGCACCCTCCCCATCCCACTTCCTCACCCAGGCACTGTGCCCCCTCTACCCTCACTTGGCATCAATAGGATGCTCAAAGCATGGGTTCCATTTTGGTTCTTCCCCTCACAGAGAAGGCTCGTGCTCATTTTTGGCTGCTCTGTCAGGCTGATGGTGCTGTTGGCCCAGGGGGCGATTATGGTGGAAGTCACCTGGACACTGCTATCCACACTGTTCACACCCATGGGAGCCCCTCCCATCCACCACTGCACAGAGGGTGTGGGGATCCCATAGAAGGAACAGCTGCACAGAAGAGTCTTCTCCAAGGAACAGGAAGAATAGAGCAGGCTGGCAGGTGCTGTGGGGAAGAGGGTCAGCAATCAGCAAGCATCCTGACTTCCTGACTTCCTGACTTCCACTTCCTCCAGGACCCAGCCTTCTCCTTATTCATGACTTCCAAGGAGCTTCCAAAAGACTTTCTGGAAGCCCAGAGGAGCTGGGCTTCACAGACAAGCTCCCCTTCATTCTTTCCCCTCACCTGGCCTCAAAGTGATCGTTGGACCTGACTAATGGCAAGGGAACTTCCTGAGAATCTACACTGCCTATGAGCCCTTACCTGACCCCCACCCCCACCCCCAGACTCTTCCTTCCATCCCTCAGGCTCTGCTTCTTCCCAGCTCCCTCTGTGATCAAGTTCTCCCACTCTCTTTTACTGTCCAGATGCTGTTGGGCAAGTCACTTCCCCTCTCTTTGCTCTTTACCAGTTTGGAAAATAGGGGTATTCGCTGAACCTGTATCATGATATCATCAATGTAAGTATAAATGCCCTGGGGCACCTGGGTGAATTGGTTTTGGCTCAGGTCATGATCTCACAGTTTGTGAGTTTGAGCCCCACACTGAGCTGTGCGCTGACAACGTGGAGTCTGCTTGGGATTCTCTCTCTACCTCTCTCCCTCTCTCTCTGCACCCCACCCCCCAAAATAAATAAACTTAAAAAAAGGAATGAATTCCCGGCGGTTGGCAGTGTTCCTAGCTGAGTACATGGTAAAGAGTTCCCCATTCAATAAATAGAACACTTTGCTAGATTTTCTTCTTCCCAGTCCCAAGTGGCCTTGGAGCACTCATCCTAAGCAGAGATCACTATGGCACTTTCTGGGTAAGAACACTGAGCCTGCTTCACGCTACACAGAACAGGTGGGATATGGTATCCACTTGGTGACTTTCGTCAGTTAATAGGGAACAGTCACCCTCTTCAAGGTCTCTAATGAGGAATCAGTTCTTAATATTACTGACAATGCATATATTGTCACTGGGAGTTGTTTGAGATTACTGGAAGAAAGGGGTCATTTCCCCCTAAACAGTAGCCTTTGATCTTGGACTTTACATCTGGGTCACACAGGGGCGGGGGAGAGGAGTTTGCAGGGATTCTCTCCCACTGCTGTCCTCTGGATTATGTATTTTTACCATCTGAGAAAGCATGCCTGTGGACAGTTACTGACAAACCCAGGAAAACTGACTAACTCTGGGTCTTCCAGCATTTTGTGCTCATATGTTCAACCTCCCTGGCTGAGCGCCCACTCTCACCCCTAACTCCGCTCCCTGGCTCAATCTGCTCTTCAGGATCCGACACACAGATGTCTAATCTGTGTTGGTTATTTGGTACCTTACACCCTTATGTCCTCTTCTGAGACCCTGTAGCCCAGCTCACCCTGGTCCTGGCACCTCAGACACCTCCAGCGCTGCCTCTCGCCACTACTCACCCATCTGCAGCAGCAATGGTCCTCAGGAAGAGGAGGGGCCCAGGGTCTTTGCCTCAGCTGGCTCTCACATCAGAGCCATGTGGTTCAGGAGGGATGAGATGGCGAATAACTGAAAGAGGATGTGGGTGGGAAATAGAAATTATTCTCAGCAAGCTAGGGGCTTGTGTCTCAGGTCATCCTGGAGGTCTGTCCATCCTCAGAAGCCGGAATTACATGGGGTGAGATGTTCAAGAGCATCTAGGGACAGGAAGCACCCCTATAGCCTCTGGGCGACCCCAATGCCACATCTCTTTCTCTCTCCCCTGGTCTTTCCCTCCCAGACCCAGCCCACTTGGGAGAAACTCAGTTACCATATCCCTTGGGTTCTGTCTCAAAGCAAATAGGGTTTCATGGAAGGGCCGTGTATCTCAGGGGGACAGGACCAGTCTGGGTATTCCCATAGGAGCCACAAGAGGAACTGCCTAGAACAGGAGCGACTCAGGCCAGGTGGCCAGGGAGGAGTGATGGTCCGGAAAGAAAGACATGCTTGAGTTGGTATGTGGGCCGTGAGGGATGGAGAGGATGGGACAGCTTTCTTTCTTTCTTTTTAAGTTTATTTATTTCTGAGAGAGAGAGAGGGAGAGAGAGCACAAGTGGGGGAAGGGCAGAGAGAGAGGGGAACAGAGGCTCTGAAGAAGGCTCTGCACCAACAGCAGTGAGCTGGATGCAAGGCTCAAACTCACAAACCGTGAGATCATGACCTGAGCCAAAGTCAGACGCTCAACTGACTGAGCCACCCAGGTGCCCCAAGGAGGGGACAACCTTAGATCCTTTGGGAAAATGGAAATGGACAGGAACTCCTACTGCTGATAGGATAAGTTCCAAACTTCTTTGCTTTGCAAATGCGATTCTCCACAATTTTGCCTCCCCCTTGCTTTCTGCCCCACCCCCTGTGCCTTTCCCAACATTTTCCACACCAAAGGGAAAGTGCTGCCTTCTCCAGTGTTCACCTTACACATCGTTCCCTTTTCGTAGCTTTTCCTCTGGCAACTCTGCTCCGCGCACCTTCAAATCCTACTTCAGTTTCAAAGCTGAGTTCCGTGCCACTTCCTGCATCTCCTGATCTCTCTGCCAGGTCAGAAGTGCAGAAATCTCTCCCTTTCCAGAAGGACCCAAGTATTTCCTTTGTAGTTTCTTGAGGAAAGAGTCTGTTTTTCCCTCCTAGTGGAGTTGTTTTATGCAGCAAAACAACAACTATCCACCCTGCTCTTCATTACTAACAAACCTAACTTTGTTTATGGGTGCGTTGGTGCAAGTTAAAGCACTGTTTTGTCCTCCTTTGCAGTTAACTGGTGGCACCCGACATTGTTCTATTGGAAGTGGGCTGGGGTTCCTGGGAAAGTCTTCCTTTCCTGATACTGTCATTTCCTTCTTCCTTGCCACTTTCTTCTCCTTCCTCCCTAGAACATGGATGTGATCCTGGAGGTAGAGCAGCCATTTGGCAGCCATGAGGTGACTACGAGGATGAACACCACTCATGAAGGATATTCTAGCAGAACAGTTTTGAGGAGCCCAATCCCTGATGGCTACACCAGCCTCTGCACAGCCTATCTCTGTACATCTCTTTGGGTGAGGAAGGCAAACTCTTATTTGGTTAGGTCACTCTAGTTGGGAAGCTAATGAAATATTTTAGTAGCGGATCTGCCTGAGACTGAGCCCTTTAAGGGAAGGCCCTACATCAAACAGACCCTTGTGACCTCAGAAGAGCTTAGAAAATGACCTTGCTTGGGGTGCCTGGGTGGCTCAGTGGGTTAAACATCTGACTCTTTTTTTTTTAAGTTCATTTATTTTGAGAGAGAGAGAGAGAGAGAGAGAGAATCCCAAGCAGGCTGCATGTGGACAGCTCGGAGCCCAACGTGGGGCTCCAACTCACAGACTGTTAGATTGTGACCTGAGCCAAAATCAAGAGACAGGCACTTAACAAACTGAGCCACCCAGGCACCCCAAGGGTCCTACCCTTGATCTTGGCTCAGGTCACAATCTCACAGTTTGTGAGAGCGAGCCCTGTGTCGGGCTCTGTGCTGACAGTGCAGAGCTTACTTGGGATTCTCTCTCTCCCTCTCGATCTGCTCCTCCCCCCTTCAAAATAAATAAGTAAACATTAAAAAAGAAAGAAAGAAAATGACCTTGTTTTATAGTCACTGATAAAATATTCACCTGTCCATCTTGTCTTTCCTCAAACTATCAGGGGTGGTGTGGTGTGGGGGGAATAGTTTAAATAAAGAGTCGACTTAAGAGCAGGGACCCTGGATTTGAGCACTGATTATATAAGTTATGTCACTGATTCACTGGAGGACCACAGACAAATCCTTTCCTTCTCTGGGCCATGAGTCCTTCATTTCTGAGTAAATTCCTGGAAAAGGCAGGATGAGGGGAAGTGTCCCTAGTCTGTAACACCTTGTGGCAGATGCTGCTGGCTTCTGGCCCAGGAGGTATCCCCACACCATTATCCCTGTTGTCTCCACTACAGAGACCAAAAATAATAAATATTATTGTTCCCAGGTTTCCTCATGTGAATGTCCCGCTAGTCGGGTGACACAGTTTTGGTCAAGGAAAAATAAAACAACCTTTCCAACGATATTGATATTTTACTGTTCAGAAAGGTCACTCAAACCTAGAAGGGAAAAAGAAAGCAAAACCCTAAATTTGAACACAAACAAGATCTAGTAAACAAATTAAAACAATGATAACAGAACCATCCTGAAAGAATATCTACTTGAAGTAACCTTGGAATGCAGTGCTCTGACGGTACTGTCTTAAGGGAGACAAGCTATCAATACAAACCCTTGGCTTAAAAGAACAAATTCTATTTCCATATTCTGTTCATTGAAAGACCCTAGAAGTAATGGCATATCCCTAGTGATAAACATGCTTAGCACCTATGTCGTGGTTTCTAAACAATATCCATCAGTGGGATGGAGCCTGCGTAAACCAGCTTTAAAAAGCTGATTATTAAATTTTCAAAAATGTTACAAGCTGGTTGTCAAACACAGCCATTATTAAAAATTAAGCTGTATAAACTTATAAACAAATCATATTAAAAACAAAGGTAATAAGCACTCAAAACTGATTACTTCATGATTTTTCTATTGCATTTTACAGTTATGTGTCCTTGAGGTTATTCACACCGTATTGTATCTGTGTGATGGAAATACCACATAACGGTGTGCTACTGTATCTCTTCTTAACTCTATATGATGATGAGTTGGTGGCTTGAAACTGTCTCCAGTGAGAGTTTCTACACAGCAGACGTTGGCAATACTACAATTCAGGGTTTCTTTTTCCCTTTGGAGATCTGGCTAGTAAATATTTACTAGCATACCATTGTTAATATTTCCCACTCAAAGGAACCCATTCATGTTGAAACAGCCTTCCATAAACCAAGCAGCTCTTTATTGGTCAATTGAGAGCGACTCACTGTCACCACCCAAGTGGCAGCTCTTCAGGTGGTAAAAGGAAAGGAAAGAGGTCACCTGCTCACGAATACGATGCCTACCTCCTCACATTCCCACGGTCCCACGTTCCTCTATAAACCATTTCCATGTATTACTGAACTCTTCTGGACCTGGTCTTCCTTATTAGCACGTGTGTCCAACATTACCAAAGGTATCATGGGTATTTCAGGTTTCAGGATTATTTTACTTCCCTCAGTCCTATGGGCAGTTTCCATCAGAGTTCAATAGCCAGCTAGTTGTACGTCTCTCAAATGGAAATTTCCTGATTAAAAAAAAAAAAAAAAAAATCCCAGTGGTTGCCACAGGGTGGTGCTCGCTGGCTATTGCCATAAAATGCAGTCTGCATAAAGACTCCAAGACTTCACTCTAGTGGTTTTATGGTTAGGAGTTGGCCATATTCCCAAATGTAGAATATGTGTCACCCAAAATCTAAATCATTCAAACGCTGGCTTCTGATATGTTGTTTTTTTTTCCCCCACCAGGTATCCTATATTTTTCTAATTAACAACCTGTGTGGGCTTGGGCAATTTTATTGGTTCCCATTTAGCATATGCTGGCTGAAGGGAGGATTTACATGCCTCCTGTTTCATAATAGTAGGTAAGGGAGGTGTTTCCCAGTCAGGCGCAGTATGTACGTACATTCAGATGAGGGAGGAGACACAATGGATTCACATAAAATCTGTTCAAGTATTATATTTTTCATCTAAACCTCCACTTTAACTCCCTTAATCCGTCTATTCCTGTATCTTCCCAATCTAACTATAACTCCCACTAGGACTCACAATGCATGGGGGCCCCAGCTTAAGGAATCCCAGAAGCATCTCTTCTCATGACCATTTTACCACAAATGTGCATGTGGCTTTGAGTCCCCGGCTGGGCATGGAGCCAATGAACCAGGCCCTTTTACCAATCATCATCTTTTATTTCTTTTAAAGAATATTTATTTATTTTGAGAGAGCAAGCACACATTGGGGACAGGCAGAGAGAGAAGGAGAGAGAGAATTCCAAGCAGGTCCTGCACTGTCAGTGCAGAGCTGGACTCCGGGCTTGATCCCACAAACTGCAAGATCATGACCTGAGCTGAAGTCAAGAGTAGGTTGCTCAAACAACTGAGCCACCCACGCACTCCTGACCAATCATCATATTGATTAAATCATGGACCATGACCACAAGCAACTTGAAGTTCAGGTCCCAGTGTCATAGTTGCCTTTGGGCTTGTGAAATTCTTCCACACTAGGGCAACTAGAACAGATTTTATTGGGATCCTTCAAAGTTGGGGGGATATCTGAGGGTCCACCCAAACTCCAAGAGCACTGCACTGAGACCTTTGTTTTGAGCCCATCAATTTCCATTTTATTCATTCAGTTTCTTTATTTTTTTAATGTTTACTTTTGAGAGACAGAGAGAGAGAGAGAGAACATGAGTAGGGGAGGGGCAGAGAGAGAGGGAGACACAGAATCTGAAGCAGATTCCAGGCTCTGAGCTGGCAGCACAGAACCTGACGTGGGGCTCAAACTTACAAACCATGAGATCATGACCTGAGCCAAAGTTGGAGGCTTAACTGACTGAGCCACCGAGGTGCCCTTATTCATTCAATTTCTTCATAACTGTTTAAAGATTTTCCTCTCTGTTGAGATGAGTCCCTTTGACACTCCCTTTATCTTTCTCCATTGTCTTGTGAATCACTTTAATTTTCTTGGCTACCTATTGTTCCAGTGGTAGCCCTGAGACCAGCAGCCATAGCTCAGACTGGACAGAACCCAAACTTGGACTAGCATTAGGATCCACTCAGCTCTTTTCTTTACTTTCATTATAGCTTTTACAGATAAAAGCAGCCAAGGGATTGTTATATTTAGCTTGTTTCTTGAGATTTTGAATTTCCTTATGCATCTAGTGAGTCAACTTCTTCAGAGTTGGATCCATAATTTAAAAAACCAAAAAACATTGGTAACTTTAACTTCCTGTAACTAATTGCAGAACAGCTGTATTTTCATGCTCATGAGTGACTTTGGGGACATACAGGAATGAAAGGTTCCTCATCCCCTGATTTCACATCTTTGCTCTCCCCAAACCATATGTATCACTGAGTTAAGGTTCTCACAAACCTCATTTCTGAGGCCAACTGCAAAATTAGGGAACAGTCCCAAAAACATACCCTCACTTTTTTTTAATGTTTACTTATTTTTGAGAGAGAGAGAGAGAGAGATACAGAGTGAGAGTGGGGAAAGGAAAGAGAGAGAGGGAGACACCAAATGTGAAGCAGGCTCCAGGCTCTGAGTTTTCAGCACAGAGCCCAATGTGGGGCTCAAACTCGCAAACCATGAGATCATGACCTGAGCTGAAGTCAGAAGCTTACCGACTGAGTCACTCTTTGGGCTCCCTAAAAGGCCCTCACTTCTGATACCAATTGTAGACTTTAGAGGTCTCTAAAACCACCCTCACTTTTTTTTTTTATTTTATTTTATTTTATTTTATTTTATTTTATTTATGTATGTATGTATGTATTTATTTTTATTTCTAGGAGAGAGAGAGAGAGACAGCGTGAGCAGGGGAGGGTCAGAGAGACAGGGAGTCACAGACTGAAACAGGCTCCAGGCTCTGAGCTGGCAGTCAGCACAGAGCCCGACGCAGGGCTCGAACCCACGAACCGCGAGATCATGACCTAAGCGAAAGTCGGACGCTTAACCGACTAAGCCACCCAGGTGCCCCAACCACCCTCACTTCTAAAGGGAATGCCAGCTTCCCTATTTTTTGCCCCTGCTTCCAGCACAGAACCAAAGTAGACCCTGCTCCCCAATTCAATCACATGAGATACTCCCACCCCTTCCTTCCTTCCTTCCTTCCTTCCTTCCTTCCTTCCTTCCTTCGAGACAGAGAGAGAGAGAGAGCCACAGGGCAGAGGGAGAGAAAGAGAATCTTAATCTTAAGGCACGCCTGGAGCCTGTCACAAGGGCTTGATCCCATGACCCTGGGATCATGACCTGAGCCAAAACCAAGAGTCAGATGCTCAACTGACTGAGCTACCCAAGCGCCCCTAAATTGCCCCTACTTCTAATTAGCTAACCTCCAGCTTCCCCATGATAACAATCTCCAATCAGACCCTATCTGAAATCCTTCTTTTTATCCACCATGCTGCTTCCCTTTGAGTTGTTGCCAAATGCAAGTGATGGTGGCTGACTCTCCTGCTACAGCAAACTCTGAATAAGTAACTTGTTTGTTCTCATTTGGGTCATCTTTTCTTGTTTCCAGGAACCCTGAGGAATTAAGTCTTACAGTTTCCTCAAACTGAAGCTCAAGCAAAGAAGTGATTTTCCCAGAGCATTGATCCAGTGTAGTTAGAGATGGATTTAAAACTCAAGTTCCTCTTGACGGAGGACCAAGGGGGAGAAGAAGGGCGGAAATGGTGGAGGAAAGGGAGAGAGGCAAACCATGAGAGACTCTTGAATGCTGACAAAAACTGAGGACTGATGGATGTGGGGGGGAGGGGGGGATGGGCATGAAGGAGGGCACTTTGGGGATGAGCACTGAGTGTTATGTAGAAACTAATTTGACAATAAACTATTTGTAAAAAAAATAAAAAAAAAAATAAAACTCAAGTTCCTCTTGCTCCACGTCAACCTTCCAAGAAGCAGAAAAATCCAAGAAGCAGAAAAATGTATAAACTACCTACATTCTTTGGCCTGTAGGCAACAGAGCAAGGGTAAAAAGTAATATTAAAAGTTCAAACATCCTTGGTCTCATCTCAGAAAAAGGAAAAAAAAAACAAACCACGAATCACCTAAAACTTAGGAAACATGTCTCTAAATCAAATGAAATAGTACATAGGAAGAAATCAAGAGTCTAAACCTTCGAGTCCTTTGTGACTACTCTCTTTTCTCTCATGGCCGGCAGCCATGTTGGAAAATCCTGTGGGCACTGCTTTCAAAATACACTCAAGGGGCACCTGGGTGGCTCAGTTGGTTAAACGTCTGACTTTGGCTTAGGTCATGATCTCGTGGTTCGTGGGTTTGAGCTCCACATCAGGTTCTGTGCTGGCAGCTCAGAGCCTGGAACCTGCTTCAGATTCTGTGTCTTCGTCTCTGCCCCTCTTCTGCTCACACTCTATCTCTCTCTCCTTCAAAAATAAATACATTAAAAAACTTTTAAAAACACACACACAAAAAAACAAAATACACTCAAAACCTCACCACTTCTCGTCACCTCCACTGCTGCCACCCTGGCCCAAGCCACCAGCCTCGCTCACCCAGACCACTGCAGGGACCTGCTTACTAGCCTTGCTGCTTTGCCTTAGTCCCTGTCCATTCTATTCCCTGTGTTGTGGCCAGAGGAAGCCTATCAACACCTCAGTAAGAGCCTGCCCTTTCTCTGCTCCAAACTCTCCAAAGCTCTGCATGAGGCAGCCCCTCTCCCTTTACCTCTCTGACCTCACCTCCTGCCACTCTACAGAGGCTCTGGTTTCTACTTCAAAGCACAGTCTGCAGGCACCTGGGTAGCTGAGTTGGCTAAGCGTATGATTCTTGGTTTCCACTCAGGTCACAATCTCACAGTCTGTGAGATCAAGCCCTGCGTGGGGCTCTGCGCTGACAGCTTGGAGCCTGCTTGGGATTCTCTCTCTCTCTCTCTCTCTGCCCCCCCCCCAAAAACAAATAAACATTTAAAAACAAACAAATAAACCACCATTTGGATGTTGGAATGAGTCCTGTCTGGGTCCTCGCCCAGGCTTTGCTAGTAAATCACTGAATAGACTTGGTCAAATATTTTCTTTCTTCTCTCTGGTTTTCCTTTGATTTCCTCATCTGTAACATGAGTGGGTTTTTAATTTGAGGTTGAGTGATCCGTCTAGCTCTAAAATTCCAATTTCTTCTTGCTTTTCTCCTGTCAGGCTGTAGAGATACGGGGGATGACTCCTCATGCACCCTCTTTTTTCCCTCCCCTTTATACTTCCTTTGCCCATCATTTTACCTTTGGCTCTTCTTCCAAGGGCTCCAGGATATTTTTCGTCCTCAGCACACTTCCGACCGTGTATGTCCTTGACAGAGTCTAAATCCTACAAAGGGCTTTTCCGACTTGCTGCGGGAACACCCACTTTTGGATGACTGGCCTACTTATGCTAACTGGAAAGCTGATTTTCTAGGGACGCCAAGGACTAACAGAGAAACTCATTAACCGGATTACACTCGGGATAACCGAAAGACTAATGACTGAGCGCCTCACAAGGGGATTAATTTATTAAGAGACGGATTCAGAGCGAGCATAATTAACAGACGAGCAGGGCTGGCTACGAAGTAGGTGGATTATCAGATTCACTGATTAATTGGTTTGCAAGGGGACCTGTTCGACTCATAAGGACGCTAATCTGATCTTTAATCAACAGACCGCTTGGCGGGCTTATTAGACCGGTGACCCCCCTGGCTGCCCTTGAGGCCGACCTGGTGATCGACTTGGTGGCAGGCTGAATGCAGACAGGCTCCTGGCGAACTGACTGAGCCTCCGCAGACGAGCGATCCAAACTAGTCTCTGCCACCGACAGGCTCCAGGAGGCCTCTCAGGTGGGAGAACCGCCCTGGTGCCCAACCGACCCCCAGTGACTGAGCCCAGGACCGTCTGACTGACAGGGAAGCCCCGTCTTTAGGGTAGCCCAGTTTCGGCCGTCTCAACGCCAAGCCGCTCACTCAACGGTAGCCAGGAAAGAGAAGAGGCCAGGAGAGGGCGTCCGATGCTCGTGGGCTTCCGTCGGTGACGCGGGGAAGGTTGCGGCGCGGCTGGAGTCCGCGGGTCCTGCCTTCCAGCCTTGCCTGGGGCGTGGCTACCCTGAAGCCAATCAGCGGCTGCACGGGCGTATCCCGCAACCAATCAGCGGCTGCACGGGCGTATCCCGCAACCAATCAGCGGCTGCACGTGCCCTTCTGCTGCAGCCAATCAAGGAGGCCGCTGAAGCTTGACAATCCCTGGGAACAATCTTGAGAACTTGAACCAATCCGCACAGTGGGCGAACCCGTGGGCATGTGGGTGCCCGTTTTCTTCTGAGAGGCCCTTCTCGATGATGCTGATGAAAACTCTTCTACCCTCCCTGACTCTGCTGGCTCAAACTCCTCGATGCACTCGTTAAGTACTTTCTTAGCCATTAAAGGTTTTCAGGGTCCGCCTGGCTGGCTCAGTCAGGCGGGGCATCGACTCCTGATCTAGGGGGTGTGAGTCGGAGCCCCACATTGGGAGTAGACAATACCTAAAAATAAAATATTAAAAAAATTTGGGGGGGGGGGCACCTGGATGGCTCAGTCGGTTGAGCGTCGGACTCCGGCTCAGGTCATGATCTCACTGTTCGTGGGTTCGAGCCCCGCGTCGGGCTCTGTGCTGACAGCTCAGAGCCTGGAGCCTGCTTCAGATTCTGTGTCTCCCTCTCTCTCTGACCCTCCCCTGCTCACGCTGCCACTCTCTCTCTCTCAGAAATAATAAAGCATTAAAAAAAATTTTTTTTTTCAGGAGTGCCTGGGTGGCTCAGCCGGTTGAGCCTCCTACTCTTGATTTCTGCTGGAATCTTGATCTCACGGTCAGTGGGTGGGTTAGAGCCCTGACTGCGGCTCTGTGATGTCAGTAGGATGCTTGCTCGCTCGCTCACTGTCTCTCTCAAAAATAAATAAAAATAAACATTAAAAAAACATTTTTGGGACACCTGGGTAGCTCAGTTGGTTAAGCTTCTGATTCTTGGTTTCAGCTCAGGTTGTGATCTCAGGGTTCATGGGTTCAACCCGGAGTAGGGCTCTTCACTGTCAGTGTGGAGCCTGCTTGTGATGCTACCTCTCTCTCCCTCTCTCTCTGGCCCTCACTGGCTCATGCGCCCTCTCTCTCAAAATAAATAAATAAACTTAAATTTTTTTTTTCAGGATACTTTTTGCTACTAAATTAAAGTTTTGCTTATAGTCTGACTACTTCACTAGAATGTAAGCTCACTGTGGGCAGAGTTGTTCTGTTTTTTCAACGGGTTTACCACATGCTTGGTATAGTGAGGATATCTACTATTCATCAATAAATTTTCCTTTAATTGTGAACAGGCTGAAGGGACAGGAACTCAAAGTTTCATGTTAGGTGTATGTTTATTAGTTGGTCACATACTGCCAAAGAATTTTCTGAAGTGAATGAGCCAGCTCAAACTTGCGCCAGCAACCTATGAGAATTGCAGATGCTTCACATCCTTGCCAACATGTGAAAACAGCTGATCTTTAATTTTAGCCATTCTGGTATTTGTGTAATGATACTTAATTGCAGTTTTAATTTACACATCCCTGAGGGGTAATGTTATGTTTATGTTTTTTTTAATTGAAGTAATCAATATACAGTGTTAAATTAGTTTTAGATGTACAATATAGTTATTTAATGCACACAGTGTGTTATCACCATAAGTGTACACACACAGTGCTCATCACCATAAGCATATATCTTAATCACCTTTATCTATTTCACTCATCCTCCCCTCTTGCAACCACTATTTTGTGCTTTAAGAGTCTACTCTTCTTTTCTTTATTCATTTGTTGTGTTTCTTAAATATCACATATGAGTGAAATCATATGGTCTTTGTCTTTCTCTGTCTGATTTATTTCATTTAGCGTAATACACTTAGCTCCATGAAATTTGTTGCAAATGGCAAGATTTCATTCTTTTTTTTATGACTGAGTAATGTTCCATTGTATATATGTACCACATCTTCTTTATCCGTTCATCTACGAATGGACATTTTGGTTACTTCCATGTCTTCGCTATTGTAAATAACACTACAATAAGCATAGCAGTTCACTTACTTTTTTAATGTTGGGTTTTTTTTTTTATTTCTAGGAGAGAGAGAGAGAGACAGCGTGAGGGGAGGGTCAGAGAGAGAGGGAGTCACAGACTCTGAAACAGGCTCCAGGCTCTGAGCTGGCAGTCAGCACAGAGCACGACGCGGGGCTCAAACCCACGAACTGCGAGATCATGACCTAAGTGAAAGTCGGACGCTTAACCAACTAAGCCACCCAGGCGCCCCCGTACTTTTTTAAATTAGTATTTTTGTTTTCTTTGGCTAAATACACACTGTGGAATTCCTGGATATATGATAATTCTATGTTTAATTTTTTGAGGAAACTCCATACTGTTTTCCACAGTGGCTGCAGCCTTCTGCACTCTCACCAGCAAAGCACAAGGTTCCCAGCTTCTCCAAAACCTTATCAACCTTGTTTTTTCTGGTTTTGATAATAGCCATCCTCATGAGCATGAAATGGTATCTCATTCTGATCTTGATTTGCATTTCCCTAATGTCTAGTGATGCTGAGCATCTTTTCAAGTGTTTTCTGGCCATTTATATATCTTCTTTGATGAAATGTTTATTCAAGTTCTTTACCATTAAAAAAATTGGGTTATCGTATTTGTTGTTGAGTTGTAGGATCCCCTTCTATTATCTGTTAATCCTTTATCAGATATCTGACTTGCAAATGCTTTTTTCCGTTCTATGGGTTGCTTTTTCACAATGTCCAAAGAGTCATTAGATGCACGAAAAACTTCAAATCTCCTGAAGTCCAATTTATCTACTTTTTCTTTTGTTACCTGGGTTTTGGTGCCATGCCTGAAGGGTATTGGTTTATAGTTTCATTTTCTTGTAGTGTCTTTGTCTGGCTTTGGTATCAAGATAAAGTTGGCCTCATAGAATAGTTAAGAAGTGTTCTCTCCTCTTTGATTTTTTGGAAGAGTTTGAGAAGAGGTGGTATTAATTCTTTATTTATTACTATTTTCTAGAGGTTTTATTTTTAAGTAATCTCTACAGCCAAGGTGGGGCTTGAATTTACAATGCTGAGATCAAGAGCCACACGCTTTACCAACTGAGCAAGCCAAGTGCCCCTAATTCTTCTTTAATGTTTGGTAGAACTCACTCATGAAGTCATCTGGTGCTCAGCTTTTCTTTGTTAAAAGGTTTTTGATTCCCAATTCAATCTTACTAGTTCTAGGTCTATCAGATTTTTTATTTCTTTATGATTGAGTCTGGCCAGATTGTGTATTTCTAGGAAACACATTTACCTAGGTTACCCTATTTGTTGGTGTACAATTGACCATAGTACTCTCTTATAATATTTTTTTATTTTTGTAGAATCCGTAGCAATGTCCCTACTTTCATTCCTCATTTTGTAATTTGAGTCTTTTTCTTTCTTAGTTGATCTAGCTAAAAGTTGGCCAATTTTGTTGATCTCTTCAAAGAATCAACTCTTGGTCTTGTTGATTTTCTTTATTGTTATTCTATTCTCTTTCATAATATCCATTCTAATCTTTATTATTTTGTTCCTTTTGCTAGCTTGAGGCTTAATTTATTTTTTTTTTGTCTAGTTCCTTAATATGTGAAATTAAGCAGTTTATTTGAAATCCTTCTTCCTTTTTAACTTGAGCATTTACAGTTTTATATTTCTCTCTGATCACTGCTTTCACTGCATCCCATGAATTTTGGCAGGGTGTATATTAGTTTTCACTTGTCTGAGTATTATCTGGTTTTCCTTATGATTTTTTCATTGACCCAATGGTTGCTTAGGAGCATGTTATTTTAATTTCCACATATTTGTGAGTTTTCCAGTTTCCCTTCTTATCATCAATTTCTAGTTGTGTTCCACAGTGATCAGAAAAGATGCTTTGTGTCATTTCCATCTTTTCAGATTCATCTGGACTGGTTTTGTAGCAAGAGGAGTCCTCCTTCCCCTTTTGCAATAATCTCCTTTTCTTATGGCAATAATCCTTTTGAACAAACTCTTGCTTTGTCTAAATCCAAGTTCAGTTTTTTTATGTGGCATACTGAAGGATGAAGTCCAGCCCCCTTACCCTAGAGACAGGGCCTTTGGAGAGCAAGGGCAAGACCCCAGCCAGAGTTTCCAGGAGGAAATTAATCTGGTCTCCTTCACCCCAGGTTCCAGCTAGTGCAGACTGACTGGTCTTGCCCAAAAGCTGCCAGGTCATCTCCTACTTCCTTGTGCCCGATGTTATCACTCCTCATGCTGCTTTTCCTCTCCTCTGCTTGGCCAACTCCTGCTTGCCCATCAAGGTGTGGCTTGAAAGAGGTTTTCTCAGAAAAGCTTTCTCTTTTTTCTTTTTCTTTTAAAAATAAAGTTTATTTATTTATTTTGAAAGAGAGAGACAGCATGACTGGGGGAGGGGCAGAGAGAGAGGGAGTGAGAGAGAATCCCAAGCAGGCTGTGTACCATCAGCACAGAGTTCGATGCAGGGCTTGAACCCATGAGCTGTGAGATCATGACCTGAGCCAAAATCAAGAGTTGGACACTTAACTGAATAGCCACCCACCTGCCCCTGAAAAGCTTTTTGTTATTTATTTACTATTATTATTTTTTTAATTTTTAAGAGAGAAAGAGGCAGAGTGAGCAGGGGAGGGGCAGAGAAAGAAGGAGACACAGAATATAAAGCAGGCTCCAGGCTCTGAGCTGTCAGCACAGAGACAGACGCAGGGCTCGAACTCATGAACCTCAAGATCATGACCTGAGCCAAGGTTAGGTGCTTAACTGACTGAACCACCTAAATGCCCCTTGAAAAGCTTTTTCTAACCCTCTTTTCACCCGTGAAGCAGAGGTCAGAGCTTTTGCCTTTGGGTCCTCAGACCATGGGCTCTACTTATCTGTTTAACATCCCATGTCCATCTTTATAGAAGCCTAATCACACTGTGGTGTTTTTTTTTTTTAAGTTA